CAGGTGAATAAATAGAAACGCAAGAGTTTTGCATGAAGACAAACTCATATGAAACTGGTGCTTTGTGTTTTTCAGCTTACCCATGTTCACTGTGCTCAGAAAATTCACCATTTTACTCACAATGATTATGGAATCCAGGATACTGAGGTATATATGTTCTTTTAGTGATTTTATTTTTAATTATGCTTAAAGCTACAATGTCACTTTTTTGTTCGAAAATGTAAATAATGAGCAAGTACACCATAACCTTAAATCCTTAAGCTAAGCAAGCACATCATTATTTGTATTTTAATGCTGTGGCCCATATGCCAAAATATACCTTCATATACCAAAATATATTTCAGAGGCAAGAAAATACACTTATAACCTTATAGTATTATTCATTATTTTTATTCAGTTGTGTTGCATGTTCACACGTGTTATAGCGGGGGCTTGATATATTTCAAAATATAAAAAAACATTTTTAAAAATATGCAAAAAATATGTTGGTAGGAAAGCATATTTATGGACTTATGACTGCTTTTGTGCTCCAGGGTCACAAATACAAATATATATATATATATATGTGTGTGTGTGTGCGTATGGGCAGGACAGATTTCCCAGGAAACTGCATATTTTCATAATTAATCTGTGCGTGTGTGTCATATCCGTAAATAAAGACAGTCAGGCTGCTGCTAGATGAAGTGGATGTAGCTTGAAAACACAACAAATGAAGCTCGAACCGGAAAGAGTTTGCATTTGGAAAGCAACAGTATGCGTAATAAAACACGAACCAACATAAGTTTGCGTAGCATTTGCAAGCCTCACAAAACAATGTTCATGTTGATAACCGCCAATCTCTGAAACGCTTCCTTCTTCGCTCTGTCCTTGCTTATATTAAATAGCCATGCAACGTTATAGTTCCCACCGTTATCGTTATCATTCATTATGTCTAAAGTCAGCTGTTAAAAAAAAAAACTGCTCAGAAAGACGTTTTTCAGATATCCGTCTTTCTTCGGTTATTAGAGTTTTAATGTCGCAGAGCTCACGTGTGCCTCCGCAAGCAACTTGTAGTTTTACGTTTTAACTGCTAGAAGGCCAAAAGTGACGCATGATGATAAGACTGTGTTTCTATCTTCAGGAAAAGCTTCGCTCCGCCGCTGGTGTGCAGTGTTTTGGCTATAGTCGTGGGCGCTCTGGTGGCAGCCAGGTACATGAACAGATCATTCATGATAATATGATATATATATATATATATATACACACACAGGTGTGTTTATTAACTCTGACCCGACTGCTTCAGCTCGGACCTGTCCTTCAATGCAGAAGGATACACGTTTGTTCTGCTAAACGACGTCTTCACGGCCGCCAGTGGAGTTTACACCAAGAAGAAACTGGGGATGGAGGTACATAACAGCAGGAGTTATCAGTGATGAAAATAACTGATGATAACTTCTTTGCCACATGCATTATATCTCCCGCAGCAGGCTGTTAGATATCAATGCGACTAGGTGTTATCAAATGCACTTGTAAGTCATTAGGTGTAAACTTTACAGCTTTGTGATGCAACACAGATCTGCAGCCGTATGCAAACATATGAACTCTTGCCTTCGTTGTCTGTTGTTTCAGGGTCTTGGTAAATATGGGGTTTTGTTTTATAACGCTTTTATCATTATTATCCCAACGGTCCTGGCGAGCGCTTACACCGGAGATTTAGAGAAGGTGAGCGAGAACATCGAGATGAAGAAAATGAATTTCAACATCTTTCAACATATCTCATGTTTTCTTCTTATTTTAAGGCTCTAACCTTTGAAGGATGGATGTCTGTTACCTTCGTATTTTATTTTTTATTGTCTTGTGTCATGGGGTGAGTCCAACTCATGTTTTTTAGTATTTTATTATTATAAAATATATGGTTCTTATATATAATTATATATATAATATATGTGAGCCTGCAGCACAAAAGCAGTGTTAAGTCGCTGGGGTATATTTGTAGCAATAACCAACAATACATTGTATGGGTCAAAATTATACATTTTTCTTTTACGCCAAAAATCATTAGGATATTAAGTAAAGATCATGTTCCATGAAGATATTTTGTAAATGTCCTACCGTAAATATATCAAAACTTAATTTTTGATTAGTAATATGCATTGCTAAGAACTTCATTTGAACAACTTTAAAGATGATTTTCTCAATATTTAGATTTTTTTTGCACCCTCAGATTCCAGATTTTCAAATATTGTCCTATCATAACAAACCATACATCAATGGAAAGCGTATTTATTCAGCTTTCAGATGATGCATAAATCTCAATTTCACAAAATTGACCCTTATGACTGGTTTTGGGCTCCAGGGTCACATATGTTTATGTATATATCTAACTCCAGTATTTTCTCATTTCAGGTTTATTTTGATGTATTCCATCATCCTCTGCAGTTATTATAACACGGCACTAACCACCACAGTCGTTGGTGCAATTAAAGTATCTTCACTAATTATATATTATTTATTGTACTATAATAATATATTTTATTATATAAAGAGTTTCTGTGGGTCTTAAAGTATTTTTTGTCCTACAAGCGAAGGTCTAAAATGAGAGCATAAAGTCTTGAATTCATAAAGTCGTGGCATTAAGTGTTGCAAAAAAACGATTTTCTTCCTCAGTATTTTTGTCTTGGTTTCCAGTACAAATATCTAAACATCCTTAAATCAAGACATTTATTTGAGAAGCAAAATCTAAAATTTAATACTGAAAAATTAAACAAAATGAAATGATTTCATATATTTGTCAGTGAGGAATAAATCCCTTTGAATTAAGTTGATTTCTCTGACTCCACTGGCAGGTATTTATTCTTGTTTTAATCATAAACTCTATTCTCAGAAAACTAGACTTCATATCTTAGGTCATTTTGATTCTCCAGTAAATGTATATTGATTTAAAGATCTTCAGACATTTCCACTGGAAAACAAGACAAAAATAGAGAAAGAACATCATTTTTGCAGTGCGATCGAAGCCATTTTTTTGTAAAATGAATTAAAAAGTATAAGAGAAAACGGTTAGATGATGTATTTTAAAACTTTTAAGCATTACTAATACAAGACATTGACATTTGAAGACCATACTGATGTATTTCTTTACTTTACTCCTTACATTTTCTTTACTTGGTTTTAAAAATTTGCCTTCATAAAACCTGCAGAAACCCTGTATATAATATATTATAAAGTTAGTCTATCATACTCCATAACATATGTAATATATCTAACTTTTAAATATTTAGCATTCTGTTTGTAAGTGATTCTAGAGCTGTTTGTATTTTCTCTCAGAACGTTGCTGTGATGTATATCGGCATGTTCATTGGTGGAGACTATATCTTCTCATGGACAAACTTCATAGGCCTGAATATATGGTAGGAAACTTAAATTTTTTACCATAATTTCCAGTGCATCACTACTAGGGCTGGGTAAAAAAATATAGATATCTCGATATTAATCGATTCTTATTTTTACGGAAAGAAGTTTTTATGACAGCCACCATTTAAATGTTAATATTTCAAAAAAACGAATTGAAGTAGACATATGTAACTGTAACTTTATTAATGTAAAAACTTCATTAATTTTAACCTTCAATATTATAGTAATGTAGTACCAACTGACTCTCATGTATATTTTACAGCATTAGTTGAGAGATTTTTTTTCCTTGAGAAAATTTGGCATGCACTGTACCTGATACATATCCAAAATAATCGATATTGAATCGAATCGCAAGCTTGTGAATGAGAATCGAATCGTGAAATTTGTGTCAAAACCCAGCCCTAATCCACTACTGTTTCCTAACGCTGCGTTTCTCATGTTCTCAGTATCTCGGCTGCTCTGATTTACTCCTACATCACGTTTCACAGCAGCGGCTCCTCAGAAACAAACGTCAAACCGGCAGAAGACAAACTGAGCATTCACATCACTGAGAATCATCTGGAGAAAACGTGATGCTCTGCCACTCGCATGCATGTGCATTTCAGTCTTTACTGCCGTTTTATTGAATGCAATATTTAAAAACCCCTCGCTGCTCGAAAACCACTTCAGTTTCCCTTGTGTAGTTCATTTAAATAAACACAAATGCATCAACCAGGAACGATGTATATCATTTAATGAAGACTTGAAGTGCTAACACTAATGAGGAGAAGCCCGTTTACACATTTACAAAGTCCTTTGAGCACAGCGAACAGAACATCTCAGAATAAAACGCTCGATTACATTCTGTTGTCGTGACGGGATCAGTTCGTGCACGGCTTTCCGAAGGATTTCGGGGGGGGTAAAATTAATATATTATTTCAGCTATAAAATGAATTTCCAGTTTCCAAACGAATCCATGAAATCTGCATCCGAACGAACCACCGAATGAAGCACATGAACAGAAAAACGTAGTGTTACGGATCGCGGAGACACCGAAGTGCTTTTTGGATCCAGAATCTCATTTTGATCTTTGGAAGTACAGTCGTAGATTAATATCGTAAGCGCTTCTTCGCTTTACCCATCAACTCTATACACTAGTTTATAAGCGTGTACCAATGCGGCATCTTAAAGCTGGTTAGTTTTCTCGACGTTATTGCGAAGCCTGAGCCGGTGGCTTTAAATAGAGAATAAATACATGATTAAACATGACCAATGTGATGCACGACGGCGTATGAAGCGAACCGGACTAATGTATA